TCTAACGCCTAAAAAATAAAAGCAAGCAGCAATTTTTTTTTTCTTTGCGTCATTAAAAAGTTTACAGCTTGTGATCCCTGAGGGTAGATCGTGAGCATTCCCCCTTCCCCCCCCCCCCCCCCCCCCGGTTCCCGGGGGGTTTTTGGGGGGGGGGCCCCCCCCAGGCCCGGCCCCCGGGGGGGGGGGGGGGAGCCCGCGCAACTCAGCCAAATTCAAGGGTTGCAACTGAGCCTGGAAGCAAGCTCGCTCCGCTAAAAGGGGCTCTGGCTGCGCCCCAGCGAGGAGGCGGGACTGGGGCCGGGTTGTGCTGGAGCAGCTGCGGGGCGGCGTCAGCCCGAGCTTCTCCTTCCTTTAACCACAGCCATCCGCTCTTTGCCTGCGCCCCACTTCACCGGCACTCAGCAGGATAAACCGAGCTCTTAAATAAACGGGAAGAAAGCCGACACAGTCCAGAGGGCGAGATTTATTTTTATTTAGAAAGGTTGAAGAGGAAAAATTCAAATCCGATTTAAATATTTACTCAAAGAGGAGATCCACAGACGGCTGCAACATTCTAACCCAGACTCGGGACAAGAAGCTGAACACCGCTTTTCTGAAGTAAGCCACAGGCCCTGGAGAAAGCCCTTGGTTGAAAGAAAGAGGCCTGAAGATTTCAGGAGATTCATGAAATGCATTCAAGGTTACAGACGGTGGGCCCAGCTCCTCGTCCCCCCGCCGCTCCGAATGCATTTGCTGGGACAGGGGGCACGTGACTGAGATGCTCTCAGCCTTCTCCTTATCACCTGAGACAGAGGGAGGGGAGAAGGCATCTCATGGAACTCATGAGATTAAAAAAACAAGCACTGAAAAGTGTTGGCACAGAGGAAGTGCTTAATAAAAGCAAGTTTGACTATGGAAGGACGGCAGGCCTCCTAACACTGCTGATTCCTGGACGCTCTTACATCAGGGCTCAGTGCGTCGGAGATAAGGCCCAGGAGTCTGTATTTCTAACATGCCCCCCCCGAGTTTTCTACTGGATCACTAGGTTTGGGAACCAGGGTCCCAGGAGCAGAGCCACACAGAAGTGGCCCCAGCAAGATTCTCTCCCAGGAGGGCCCCATTCACATTCGGCCCCTCGGCTTCAAAAGCCAACAAATGCCTAACACATATTAAACTCAGGCTCGTACTCCTGCCCAGCCTCACCCTCCCCATCTCCCCAGGGCATCTTGCGCCCCCAGATGCTCAGGCTGCAAGCGTGATTTCTCTCCCCCCACAACCTTCACAGCCATCAGCGGTCCTGTCAACAGCAAGCCAAACCCAGCCCTTCCTCCTGACCTCTGCCCTTACCTGAGCCAGCTTTCCCTCCCGCTCTGCTGTGGACCGTTTTGCAGGAACAGCCCAAGAGACTTATAAAGACTCAGTCAGGCCCCAGGGCCCCTGCGTCTATGCTCACCTGGCTCCTCCCTGCCTTCCCCGGGCTTCAGCCGCCGCCGCCCCCCTCCCTCTCACACATGCCAAGCTTGGGCCTGACTCACGGCCTTGGCACCGCCTCGTCCCTCTGCCTGGAACATTTGCTCGCCCCATCTGCCCTCCAGCCTTCCCATAGCTCCCGTTTTCTCCTCCAACAAGTCTCTGCCTCCATGCCAGCTCCTCAGGGAGGCGTGCCCTGGCTTCCAGAGCCAAGGGAGCCAGCTCTGTGACCTATGGCAAGTCACTCAGCATTTCTGGAGCCCAGTTTCCCCATCTCTAAAACGGAGATAATAGTAGTACTCACCCCCTAGGCTTTCTAGGATGATGAAATGAGTTTGAATGCACATTTTTTTTTAATTTTCAAAATTTAAATGTTTTTCCGGTTTTATTAAGATATAACTGACACATAGCATTATATTAGGTTAAGATGGACACCATAATGATTTATGGATATATTGCAAAATGACGACCACAATAAGTTTGGTTAACATCCAACCCCTCGCGTAGCTACAGATTTTTCTCTTATGATGAGAATTTTTAAGATCTACTTAGCAACTTTCAAATTCACAATACAGTCTTTTTAACTGCGGTCACCCCGCTGTGTACTACATCCCTACGTCTTACTTAGCTGACAACTGGAAGTGTATACCTTTTGACCCCCTTCCCCTATTTCCCCCATCCCCAACCCCCTGCCTCTGAAAACCACGAATTTGTTCTCTATGTTTCTGAATTCCTTTTTTTTTTCTTTAAGATTCCACATATAAGTGAGGTCCTACAGTGTCTGTCCTTCCCTGTCTGACTTCCTTCACTTAGCATCATGCCCTCAAGTTCCATCCATGTTGTCACGAATGGCAGGATTTCCTTCTTTTTTACAGCTGAATTATGTTTCCTGGCATTTAAATCCCACGTTTTCTTGAGCCGTTCATTCGCTGATAGAAGATGTACATTGTTTAAAATGGTGCCAGACCCTTAGTAAGTGCTCAACAAATGTGAAGCATTAGCTTGTGTCCAGGTCAGAGCATTACAATAATTTGCTTATGTGCCTACCTCTTCTGTAGACTGTGACATCCTGGGGGGACTTACTCATCCATATCCAGGCCAACTGGCAGGGTATCTGGCATAAAGAAGACACCTAAACTGGGTTGAACAGTGTCCCACCCCCACCCCCAAATTCATAGGCACACAGAACCTCAGAATGGTATCTTATTTGGAACTAGAGTCTTTGCAGATGCAACGAGCGAAGGCGAGATCGTACTGGATAAGGACGGGCACTAAATCCCATGACTGGTGTCCTTATAAGAGGCCACGTGAAGAGACAGACAGGACACAGAGGGAAGGAGGCTATGGGGTGACAGAGGCAGCGATGGTACCGAGGATTGTGTCCCCTAGAGCTTCCGGAGAGCCCGTGACCCTGCCGACACCTTGACTTTGGACTTCCAGAACTGTGAGAGAATAAATTCCTGTCGTTCGAGCCACCCAGTTTGTACTTGGTAGGACAGCCCTGGGAAATAACACAACACCCAGTGAGCGGTGGGCGGGTGAGTGAGTGAATAATTCAGACACCTCCTTCCCCCACACTCTGACTCCCACGAGAAGGCAAAGTCTTTCCTGCTTTTCCCTGTTACATTGCAGGAGGTTCTTGGGCGTCGGCGCACAATCCCTCCCTCCTTTGGGAGGCACAGCGGGGAGGCAGAGTCTTCCCCCTCCTGCCTTAGAGGGCCTTAGAGGTGGAGAGCCCGGTAACTGCCCTGCCTCAGTCAAGGTCAGCCCGCCATAAACACAGCCGCCACGCCACCGCATCAAGACAATGGCCTCCGTCCAGGGAGGAGGAAGTCGTTCAGACCCCTCGGGTGGTTGGACAACCCTGAGGAGAGGCCCCGGCGTGGAGGTGCGGGGCTGACTCTGAGCTCCTGCAACCGCTGCTCGGCCCACTCTTGGGAACCCTCTCACTTCCTCTCTCACATCCTGGCTATTTTTATATATCGAGCTGCCTCATTTTCCCCAGAGGGTCATTTGGGAAAGATAAAAATGCCTCCGAGAAACCACAGACCAAAATACGTTTCTGATGAGACCCGCCCACCCTCCTGGTGCCACTCGCTTGGCCGGTTGGTTCACTCCCACCCACAGGGAACACTGGTCGTTTGCCTCGGGCCCCGTGGGTCTCTCTCCAGGTCCTGGATTCCCGGCCTTTCCAGGTCCACCCCTCCAGTCTTTAGAACAGGTCATGAGTCGGAGACATCCTCGCCGCTGATCTTCCTGAGGGCTTGCTCTGCACCAGGCACCCTGAGCTTTACTTAATGTTCGTTACACCCCTAGAGGCAAAGACTACTATTGACCCTACTTTGGTGGGGGGGAAACTGAGGCACCAGGCGCTTGGATAACTCATCTAAGGTTACACAGGGAATAAAGGATCAATGACAAGCCAGGGTGGGATGATGGCAATATGGCTCCAGAGCCCAGGCTCGAGCCACTGCTGATGGTACAGCTCAAGGACACATCTCTGCAAGAGGCAGACTGTGTGTCATTGAGGACCCCAAAATGGTTCCTTACCTTGTTTGTTGTGTTTCTAAAAAATAGGATTGATTTTCTTAGCCATAATCCACTGGAAACCTTCACCGAAGCATTTGGGGTCAGTGGGACATAGATTCCATTCCTGGATCTGCCCCACTGGATGTGTAACCTTGAACAAGTTACTCAGCCTCTCTGGGCTCTGGTTTCTCCAGCTGTAAAGTGATGGCATTTACAAGTTGTCTGGCACCCAGTAGGCATTCAGCAAGTTTAGTTCTGTCAGCCTCCCTCTGCCTAAGTAGATCTTCCATGAAATTCCACAGTTAAAGAGATAGAATGTACCCTCCTGCCTTAGCCCATCTAGGCCACCATAACAGAATACCATAGATCAGGTGGCTTATTAACAACAGAAATGTATTCCTCACAGTTCTGGAGGCTGGGGAGTCCAAGATCAAGGTGCTGGCAGATTCCATGTCTAGTGAGAGCCCACTTCCTCGTTCATGGATGCCTGTCTGCTCCCTGTGTCCTTACATGGTGGAAGGGAAAACTGGTCTCTGCAGCCCCTTATAAGGGCACTAATCCCATGCTTGAGGGCTCCACCCTCAGGACCCAACCACCTCCTATACCAATACCATCACAGTGGAGGTTAGGATTTCAACACATGAATTTGGTGGGTGGGGGGGCACAAAAATACGATCTGTAGCACCACCTAGGTCACGTCTAATTTAAGTCAGATCATTATCAAAGCAAGAACTTTGATGCTAGCAGGGACCTTCAGAAATCAAGAAGTTTGGTTACTGACTCTGAGCACCAACTAGGCAATTACAGAGATGTATGTTGAACACTCCGAACATGGGCCTTGCTGAGCACCGACGACCTTGACTCCTGGGAGGACATAGTGTACTGGAACGAATGCTGGACTTTGAGGCTAAAGATAAGATTTGGACTCCTGGATCGATAGGGAATGGGTACTAACACCTGCTCTGTCCAGCTGACCCGGTTATTTTGAGGCAAAAGAAGTATGGGGTCAATGAAAAGTAATTGAGATACTGTATTATAAGGCGTTCACAAGCATAAAGCAGGGTTGGATAAAGCCGTGTTTGCCATGAAATGAGTTTGTTGGCAGCAGAGATACCAATCTGAATGGTGCAGGTTAAAGGCTGTATTCTGGTGTGAGAGGTGAGTTGGGTATTCTTGATTTGCCCTCCCCACTCTGTGCCCTGGGAGATGCTTCTCTTGGGATGCATCACATCGCTGGTGCTCCCCGTCCTCCGGCTTGGGCCCGGGCATGAGAAGGGATGCAGTGCTTTTGCCCTCTGCTTCTTGTCTAGCAAGCTGTCCATGGGCAGGGCTGCAGTTTTCTCCCTAAGACCACACTCTTGTTGGGTGACCTCTTTTCCTCCATTCCGGCTCTCACCATCTCCCACCAAGAAGGTTAACAGGGTTGAGAAGGCCTGTTTAGGGGAGTGGGGAAGTGGGCCAGGAAGGGGAAGGCGGCCAAGACGGGGAGCGTCCATGGTGCGTATGGTGAACATTGGGCTCAGACCTCTGGAAAACAATGTTGTAGAACAAGCCTCAGGGCTGTCCCTCCTGAGGGGTAAGGAGGCTGGGGTCCCCCCTTCAGACCTCGGGGTGCTGGGACTCCTGGCCACTTGCCTTTCCTCGTGGCTGCCTCGCCTGCCCACACCTCGTCAACTCTGCCTTCCTGCAAAAACTCTCTTCTCTTCCCCCTTGGGTGAGCCATCTCTTTCCCGCCCTGACTCCCAGACCTGCCATGATTGTCCAGATTATTCCATCTGGACAACCAGATGTATACAGGACACAAGCTATCTGCACCAGAGGCCTCTCTTCAAGTGCCTGCAGGTCCTCTCTGACTGAAGGCACCCGTGGCCCCTCACTCAGGGCAGACCACAGTGTTGGGGTGCTGAAGCCCCTGAGAGTCGCCCTTGAACAAAGACCGAGGGGAGCCCCAGTGGGTAATACCTCACCCCTCAAGGAGAATGACTCCAAAACTCATTCTACAGCTTTCCAGAGGCGTGAGCGGAGCCACTCACAGCAACATCTGCTTGTCCACGCTCCCTGTGGTGGCCGCCTTCCCTTCCCACTTCCTCGCACCCCTAACAGTTCTTGGGGTCACCTCCCAATTAACCTGCTTGCACTTGAATCTTTGTCTCAAAATCTGCTTCTAAGATACCAGATAATCATACCTTGATCTGAGACTTGATGGGGTGCCTCATTGGTCCAGGCCGCTCAGAAGCCACCGTGGACTAACCTGAATCCCATAGCAGAGTTGACAAGATCCTTCAGCATCAGGCTGTGCTGCTCACTGTCCAGCCTCACCTCTCCCCAGGACGGTCGCCATCGCACCCTCCCGCCTCACCTCCACGTACCAGTTATGCTCAGTGACTTGCAGTTCTTGGAATATATTTCGATCCTCAGGCCTCTGGCGCTGGGCCATGCTCTCTTTGTGCCAGCAACATCCTTCCCCTCCATTCACTGGTCTCCTTTCCACCTGCCTTCGAGGTTTCAGCCTTCCTTGACCGCCCCCCACAAACAGGCACCCTGGCTGGGTGACCTGTCCCTCTTACGTGCTCCCAGACTGCTCTGTTCTCATATTGCCCACTGGACTGTAAGCTCCGTGATGCAGGAAGCCTATCTTACTTATCTTCAAAGTCTGAAGCCTAGCACCCCTAGCTACACGGAAGAGGTTTTGAATAAATGCTTGATGAATTAATGGGAAAAAAGTAGTAAGTGGACAAGGCTTTTAATTTTGGAAATGGAATAAAACAATTCCTCTAACACACACACAAAAATAGGGTGAGCATCTTGGGGAAAAGTCGAAACCACTTTGCAGCCTGCCAGAACAAAGAGAAGGCAGCCAGTCCTCCCCGTCAAAGAGGTGAGCTTTGGCTCTGAAGGTCATGGAGGACAGTGATAGTTGGGCAATGGACTTAGGGAGCATGCGGAGCAGGGAAAGGAGGCTTTCCAGAGCGTAATATCCCAGGGCGGGACAAGTCTGAGTCGGCCTGGGAAACGAGGAGTGATCTGGGCCAGCAGAGTGCAGGGTACCTAGAAGAGTGTTGGGGGCAGCAAGGAAGGTGCGGATGGGGTGCTTCCTCTGACCACGTAGACACAGTCCCAAGGCATGTGACTTTGCTTATTGTTCCCTCTACTGCCCCTCCCCCAGCACTGCCATCTTTCCTTCCTTCCTCAGCTTCCTGTGTTCATGGGTGAGGCTTCCTGTTAAGTCGTTCTGAGAACTGTGTCTTTCAGGGCTTCAGAGACCAGGAATGCCTGCTAACAAAATTACCACTAAAGATCCCCACTGAATTCCACGAAGCCATTCCTTGTGCTGCTAACGTGGGCATTCCAGGGCACGCCCAGCGTCCAAGGGGAGAGAGGGTGGGAGATGTTCTCTTCACTCTCAGGCGCCCATCCGTGACATGGTACCCAGTGCCACTCAGGAAAAGTAGCGTGTCACTCCACTTTTTGTCGACAAAGCCCAATTGTAACGATCGGGATGTAACGATGCCACAAAACCCTGGGGTGCTTTCTGAACATTAAACTATGGCAATAATCCCTTGTCCACAATTCCAAAATTCATTTGGTAGCAAAAATCAACCTACACTAAGGAGAAGTTAATTTATATTCACTTACCTCAGAACAAATAGTCATACCTTTTGCTGCAGGCGTATAGAATGTGTTTGACTACAGACTGCTGCCCTAGTTTCTGTTTGGGGGGCATTATATAATATATAGTTTATGAACACTATTATTTGTCTAGAATACAAAATATTTTGAATTCCAGAATGCATCTGACCCAAGGAGCTTCAGGTAAGCGATTATGGGCCGATAAATTATGTTCAACCTTACTTTAGTGTAAGCATTTTTTTATGAAGTTGGAGTGCCGGCTCTTCCCTTCTCATTGCCTGCCTCCTTCCTGTCCTCGCCTGGATCCATACTCCTCCATCCTGCCCTCTGCCCAGGGAGGCCAGTCAAGCGGATGAGCTCATTCTGGCTGACTCACTTGATGGCCAGTGCAGGGACTGGCTGGAGAACTGAAGGCCGGGGGAGCGAGGCTGGAGTATTTCTTCTCACTGCCTCTGGCTTTAGTGTCCATCACTGGCCCTTCCTGCCCGGCAGCCTGATGCACATCCACAGCTCTGACGCTGCGAACTGGGGAAGAGTATGCCCTCCCCTTCTCCTCCAGCTCCCCACTCCTGCAGACCTCTGGATGTACCCACTTCATGCTTGTTCTCTGCACCTTGTCCACACCTTGTAAGCAACCCCTTTATTAGAGTCTGTCCATTTCAACCCTCTGGAGTGAACACTTACTTGCTTCTGGCTGCACACAGACCAATTGATAAATCAGAGTCCTTGTACTGCCCTGGGATAATGTTCTGAACTCAAGAGGCCCGAGTGTATGGATTGGCTAATTTGGGGCACTCCCTTCACTTTTCTGGTCCTTGGTTTTCCCATGTGTAAAAAGGGGCTGATAATGCCTATTTCAGAGTGTGCTGTGGTAATAAAACCAGTCACTCTATGTGAAAATGTCTAGGAAACTCTAAAGAAATACAGAGAGTTTCTTAAGAAACTAGAATATTCAGTTATTCCGAATATTCTTTTTTTTGAAATTTAATTTTTTTTTTAAAGATTTCATTTATTTGACAGAGCGACACAGCCAGAGAGGGAACACAAACAAGCAGGGGGAGTGGGAGAGGGAGAAGCAGGCTTCCCCCCGGAGCAGGGAGCCCGAGGCGGGGCTCGATCCCAGGACCGTGGGATCATGACCTGAGCCGAAGGCAGACGCTTAACGACTGAGCCACCCAGGCGCCCCTATTCTGAATATTCTAAACCCCTCCCCCACCAACTCTTCTGGATAAAAGGGTGTTTGCTTTGGGTCTCTGCTCAGGCTGCTATAACAAAAATACCACAGACTGGATGGCTTAAACAACATTTATTTCTCCCAGTTCTACAGGCTGGGAAGTTCAAGAGCAAGGTGTTGGCCGATTCGGTATCTGGTGAGAGCCCGCTTCTTGGTTAGCAGATAACCTCATCTTCTCTTTGCATCCTCACATGACCGAGAGAGAGAGAGAGAGAGAGAGAGAGAGAGATCCTATATCTCTTCCTCTTCTTATAAAGGCTTTAATCCCATCAAGAGGGCTCACCGTCATGACATTATCTAACCTGAGCACTTCCCAAAAGCCCCCCTCCTTCTACCATCCCATGGGGGGTTAGGGTTTCAACATATGAACTGGGAGGGAGTGATAAACATGCAATCCATAACAATTTGTTTAGAGCAAAGGATACCTATGCTCTGTTCTGAGACCAGAGGAGGCCACAGGCGACTTGAAAAAGGAGAGCCCATGGTCTTCCCCATCTCCTTCCTTGATGTCCATTTCAGGACTCAGCTGTTCTTTGCTGCCTGAGCTTAATTTCTATCATCCACTTCAGTGAGTGTCTTGGGCAGAAGCTCAGGTGCTTTAGTCTTACACTAATCAATCCACTTTTCCTTTTCTATCTTCCACCATTTTGTAATTACATGGGTTTTCATTTTTATGCTCTTCCAAGTCTTCAATATCCTATCCAGTTTTGGGGCTGCTTCATCTGCTTTAAAGTCACATGCTTCCTAGAACATAAAGCAATAATCTTTAGTAAGAACTCTATCAGTCGTGAAAATTCTTTTTTTTTTTTAAGACTTATCTCTACACCCAGCATGGGGTTCAAACTCAGAACCCTGAGATCAAGAGTCACATGCTCTACCAACTGAGCCAGCTAGGTGCCCCTAAAATTCTCTCTGCCTCTTTGTCCCAACACTATCTCAAGCAAGAATCTTCTATGGATGGTTTTTACCAATAGAAACTGTTGTTTGGGCTCTAGAAAAATCTAGATCGATTTGGGTGTGTGCGTGTGTTCAGACAAAATTCGTCAGAAAGATATGTAACTCTCTAATCATATAGGCTCGGCCTGATCTTTTCCTGGAGCTGGTCTTTCCAGCACTACATGGGTGTTCCCCATAAAAGGGAACAATCAACAAGATTTAAGTTCCTTTGAGTTCTTCATTGATTTTCCAGAACTTCCTCTTCCTATCACAAAACAGAGCCTTCTGAGCAACACATTCAGTTTAGCCTAATCTTGCCTGAAGCTTTAGTAAACAAGATACAGTCTGGAAATAAAAGTGATTTCACATGTAAATGACTGGATGATACTTTCAACCTCCCAATAACCCTTATTATTTATCCTTATTGAATCTAATGCCAAAACAGATTCTGTCTTCATGTTACCCACTTCTTTTTTTAAAGATTTCTTTATTTATTTGAAAGAGAGAGAGCGTGGGGTGGTGGAAGCGATAGAGGGAAAGGGAAAGAGAGAATCAGGCAGACTCCCCGCTGAGCACGGAACCTGACTCAGGACGCCGTCTCCTGACCCTGAGAGCATGACCTGAGCTAAAATCAAGAGTCTGTCACTTAACCTACTGAGCCACCCAGGCGCCCCTTATGTTACACACTTTGAAAGTTGTTCTTTTAATCCCTGGAGTTCTGTTGTGCCAAAGATTTGCTAGAAGTAGAGAGGACATTCTTACACGACTTGGCGATACTTTGATATGCAAAGATTTGGGTCAGGCTAATCACAGTAATTGTATTTAATCACCATGTCTTGGTGTAATTTTCCTTCTTGGTAATTTATAGTTATACTTTAAAAGAAAAACAGAGTTCATGTCTCTTAAGTAAGACATGGCATGACACCTCTGTAGTATGTGTGGTGACCCATGTGCGCAAAGCCTTACACATTTCTAAGTTCTAGGGCAGAAATGCCCACTACTACCCGTTACCCACCCCTCAGGGCTTACAGAGCAGATCAGTGCTCCCTATGTGTGTGAGTTAAACAGAACTGAAATTCAATTCAGAGGAGGTCTCCCCCTTTTATTAGGAGTCAGCAAACATTTTCTATAAGGACCAGGTAGTAAATACGTTAGGCTTTTCAAGCCATATAGTCTCTGTTACAACCTCACAATTCTGCCATTGTAGTGTGAAAGTAGGTCATAGACAATAGAGAAGCACATGGCATGGCTGTGTTCCAATAAAACTTTATTTGCAAAACTGGTGTTGGGGCTTGTAGCTTGCCATCCCCTGCTACATGGTACGATAATTATCTCTAACTTGTCTCCTCCATAAGCCCCTTCTCCTCATGAAGATTCTCCACTGTTAAAATATTCAAAAATAAAGTTCAGTCAGTAGGCAACCATCATAAAAATAACTGATGCAGGCAAGAATCATCAATGGATATTAAAACAAATGCGATAGCCTGATGAGAAACAAGATGCATAGTCTCCAAATAACTCCCTACAACCTACTTATTAATGGCAAAGGGGAAAAGAGTAACTTTACAGGGGAGAAACCTGGCAGAAACCCCCCCCCCATCAAGTGATCAAAGTCAATATGCCTGCTCCCGGCATAAATCAACACCATATGCCTCACTTCTGTGGGATTCCTGCTAAAGACAAATAACCTGAATCTAATTGTGTGAAAACATCAAACCAACCCATGCTGAGGGACATTCTACATAATGTTTGGCCTATACTCTTCACAAATATTAGTCTCACAAAAGACAAAGACTGAGGAACTGGTCCAGATGAAGGAATAGAGAAGAAACACGACAAGTGAACCCAATGCACGATCTGGGATTTTCTTTTTTACGGAAGACATGATTGGGAAGACTGGCAAAATCTGAAAACTTTATGTAGTCTGTGGATTGAAGAGGCTTTTGTACCAAAGTTCATTTCCAGATTTTGATAACCATACAATAGTTATGTCCTTGTTTTTAGTGCACACATGCTGAAGTATTTACAGGTAAGGGGGCATTGTGGCTCTAGCTAGGGTGACCAGTTGTCTCAGGTGGCCTGGGCCTGGAGGAGGCAAGACTTCCAATGTTAAAATCAGGAAGGTCCCAGGCAAAATGGGAGGAGTTGGTCACAATCACTGCAGCTGACTCTCAAGAAGTTCGCGTAAAAAACGTGTGTGGTTGTATAAAACAAATGTAGTCAATGTAAACATCTGGGGGATATGCGTGACAAATCTTTGTCATATTCTTGCAACTTTTCTGTGTCTGAAGTTCTAGCGAAATAACAAGTTGAAAGGAAAAAAAGCCCAACATGGTTTGAAGAAACATCCTCCAAAGCAGATTCAGATGTGTTCTGTGGGTCCCGGCGGTGAGTGCCGTGGCCCAGTGTGGAGGCCACACTGATCAGAGTCTCTGGGTTGCCGAGTGTTCCTCAGATAACAGCTTCCTGGGGGCCTGCTGCTGGAAGCAAGGACAAAACAAATCCCCAGTGACTAACTGGTTCCTAAAACAAGGGTAGCTGGAATTTTTTCTTTAGTGTTTGTGAGCACCTTGCTCTGACCTTGGGTGTCTGTCTCCTCTCCCAGGACAGAAGCCCAGGAAGGTTCTGGGGACCAGAGATGGTCCCCAGCAAAGTGGCTAGGATGAAACACCTGTTGTCGGGGAAGGCTGAAAGTGTTCCGATGCTTCTGGGGTCCTAGTGCACCCGTCCCCACGCTGTTTTGCTTCTGTGTGCCCTGAACAGAGTGGAGAAGGGTGGAGAGAGGAGGGAAGCGTCTACACAGAAAAAAAAAAAAAAAAGGTAAGAACTGAAAGTCTAACTGGATCCAGCCTCTTGTCAGTCCTCATCATTTGCGTCCCGTGCTCACACTGGTCCAAGCTGCCCGTGTCTCTCACCTTGCCAACTGCAGTAGCCCTAGTCATGCCATAGCAATAGCAGACGCCATGCTGGTCCCGCTTCTGCTCCTGTCACTTGCAGTCTGCGCCCCTTGTTAATCTCTACATCAGGCCGTGCCACACCGTCACCTCCAACGGCTTCCTGTCTCACTCAGAATAAAGTCCAAACCCCCTAACTGGCTCCGGAGGCCCTCCCGGGTGTGGTTCTCAGACGCCTCTCTGACCTTATCCCATACTAGCCCCAGCCTTGATTACTCCCCTATAACTGTGCTGGTCTCTTGCTCTTTCTCAGGCTACCCAAACATTTCATGCCCTCTGGGCACCTGTACCTGCCTTTCCCTCTGCCAAAAATGCTTTTCCCTCACATCGCGGCCTTTCTTTCTCACCAATTTCAGTTCTCTGCTCAAATAACCCCTTCTCCCTGCAGTCTTCTCTTGCCACTCTGTCTAAAACTGCAAACTTCATACGTGTTCTCTGCTTTACCCTTCTCCTTATCACTTACCACCACCTCACGTACTACACATTTAACATTTGGTGATAGTCCTTCGCCCCATTAGACTGAAAGCTCCATCAGTGCAGAGATTTATTTGTCTTCATGGCTGAATTCTTAGTCCCCAGAACACCTCCTGGAATATACTAGGCACATAAATATCTGTTGACTGGTTACTAAACGAATGGGAATGTCTCTACTCAGGTTTGTGCATGCCCTGAGCCCTGTGCTGCTGCACTCAGTGTATGGATGTGTGGGTTCTAATGTGATTCATGGCCAAGAGCACCTTTGGACTTAAGCACGCATGTGCATAAACACTCAGCAGGTTCCAGACTGTTTGAAGGGCATTTGAGTCCAAACTCTCCTTTCTCTTAAAGGTCCCACCTTACATCCTAGCAAATAGAGTTAAGTGCACCTATCTTCCATTTTAAACGTAATTTGGGCTGAGACTTTTTTAAAGGGCTATTATACTTTTGCTTTTGAAATCATTTGGTAAGGAATCGCTTGGTGAATTTACACTTGGCTCTGAATTTCAGCAGGTCATCGTATACACTCAGAAGTTCTTTGGAAGTGGAATAGAATCTAACCTTAAAATGGCTTTCAAATGCGACGTTTTTATGACTCATCAATTCAGCAGTTAATGAAATCGGGATAATTCTATGCTCCGTGGGCATTTATGTGAGCACTGCTGAATTCAGATTTGGAAATGCTCCTTATAAACATTAGAGCTGGTAACCGTTTTCTTGGGGGACTCAGCCAAGTTTGTGGGCCCCTGGGATCTCACGGGACCCAAGTCTTGGACCCAGAAAATCCAACAGATAAAAGGGTCTTGGCAAGAATCTGGGATTAGAGAAAGGAAATCTCCCTTCACTGCCGGAGACTATGGGTCCTTGGTGAGGGGTCCATGCTCTGTGGGCGTGGCTGGGAGCCAGGAAGCCTGGGCAGGGCACCCCAGGCTTATGCTGGGGTCTCTGTCCCCGTCAGCTGCTGTGCACCAGCCGGCCGAGGAACCCTCCTTCACCTGTGGCAGACCTCTGGTGGCCAGGCACACCCCTTCCCTTTGGGATCCCCTCTCCCCACTTCTATCATCTCCTGGGCCCTGGTGGCAGAAATGTTTTCACTGACATTTTGTGACACTTTTGCAGAATTCCGCTGACTCATGAGAGACAAGATGGGGGATTTTTCTGCAGCCGTTGCCACGTGGGAAAACAGATCAGTGAGTCACATCATATGCCGAGCCCTGCTGTTGTCTGCGCGGAGCAGTTTTAATCATGTAACCTTCAAAGCTGTCCCTCATTTGCAATGACATTAGCCTTGGTGATTTTATTTTCTCTCTCTCTCTCTCTTAAGCTGTCAGTTGCTGAGGGCTTCTTTGTTGCTTTCTCTGGCAGAGGCACGTTTATTTATTACAGAAGAGGTTGGCTCTGAAAGGATTCGTGCAAACTTTCTTCTGGAGATGAAAACATGTCATCCCTCGCCTGTGCCATCTACCAAAAACCCTTCAAAACCAAAAGCTAGTGACTGTCCTGGTGGACAGATGTCATCGCAAGCAGGCATGGACCATTGTGTTTGTTTTCCTCGCTAACCCTGCACGACTTTGAACCCACTCTGTAAATAAAAGAGACAGGAGCACAAAACTCTTTACACTTCCTGCCTTCCTTCCCAGTGTGCTGACATTTCAAAGCCCCATATGTTTCCCTCAACGAAATTTCATGAAAATACATATTAAAAAAAGATCTGCGACCAATGTATGCTTCTTCATTTAGCTGTACACTTTAGAAATATTCTGCACTGAGCCACAAGCAGGATATAGTTTTAATAAATATTTCCCATTCAAAAATGTACAACTGGTAGAGTTTCGAACACGTCAAACTCAAGAGTTGGAATAGACATTTGCCAGTTACCTCCCCAGCACGGATTCTTCCCCTCTGAACTTTGATCTTCCTTGTGGATACACCCCTCTTCCATTCTTACTGGGGGTCAAGATGGAATTGACCTGGCCCCCAGCTCCAGGAATGGACTATAACAGGCTCAAGCCAATCATGTATCCCATTCCTCAGGCCACATAGGTGGGTCAGGAACGAGTTCGTGATCCAATTTGGGCCAATGATTCATAGCGATAAACGCCTACATTAGGAAAAAAGAGAAAGCTCAAATAAACCTCAAGGAGCTAGAAGAAGAACAAATGAAACCCAAAGCTAGCAGAAGGAAGGAAATAACGAAGATCAGAATGGAAATTATATATGAAATAGAGTTTAAAAAGACAATAGGAAAAAAAATCAGTGAAACCAAAGCTGCTTTTTGAAAGGATAAACAAAATCGGCAAACCTTTAGCTTGACTTACCAAGAAAAAAAAGAAAGAACTCAAATACGTAATATCAGAAATGAAACAAGAGACATTACGACTAATACCACAGAAACAAAAAGAATCATAAGAGACTAAACAATTGTATGCCAGCAAATTGGACAATCTTGAAGAAATGGACAAATATCTAAAAGCATACGACTGACCAAGCCTGGATCATGAAGAAACAGAAAATCTGAACAGATCTATTACTAGTAAAGAGATTGAATTAGTAATTAAAACGCTACCAACAAAGAAAAGTCCAGGACAAGGAAGCTTCACTGGTGAATTCTACCAAACATTTGAAGAATTAATACCAAGCTTCCTCACCCCCTTCCAATTTGAGCTAGTGACAGGGCTGACACTCCCCGGACCTGTATGGTAAATACTACAGCTTCTCTGTCCCCGGATCATGCCCAGTGTGGTGTGAGGATGTGAGGTGCTTACCGGCTGAAGCAATTTGCTCCCCTTGGGGGGAGAGAGCCCAGAATTGCCAGGAGCCTTTGTGTGGAATCTGGAGATAAAACTGCCACCACTTTGAAAACTGGAGAGACTATAAAAGCCAGCTCCTCGGGTGGCTTAGACTTACCTGAAGCCAGCCCTACCTCTGGACTTTTCATTTATGTAAGTCAATAAATTCTCTTTGTTGGTGAAGCCGGGTCTAATTGGATTCTCTGTCGGGTGCAAACGCAAGAGACCTAAATGATTCAAGGCTGCTCACTCTATTCTTACCCACGCATCACCAGCATCTAGAGAAACTGAAATCCACGGTGAATGTGTTTTTGTTTCTCTGATATTGTGGTTTCAGTTCACCGGCAACCTCCATTCTTCCTTTTCTACATGGAACACCATTGTCTCTTAGAAACCACCCTTCCCCCACTCTCACTCCCTGCCACCCTAGCTGACCCCACCTCCTGGCTCCAGCAGTGGACATGTGACCCGGGGAATAACCAGTCAGGGCATTCCATTCATGGGACTGTTTGATTGGATCAGGGATAAGTAAACTGTCCCAAGATAGCCAATGAAAATAAGATCCAGGACTTTTTAACTCTTATGAAAAAGGCAGTTGAAGAATTTGCAGAGGGAAGAAGATAGAAACATCTTGGAGGGCATATTTGCACCACCATATTTGCACCATGAATGTTTATGGAGAGAGCATTCCTAAAAATGAAGCAATAAAAAAAAAGAGAGAGAGAGAGAAAAACTTTAAGAGATAGTGAGAGAAGGCGGACCAAGTCCTAACAACTTTGAGGCCTGGATTGAGCCATGCCTGAAGCATGAAAAGCAGTCACTTCCTTCTTGTCAAGGCAGTTTGATCTGGGTTTTCTGTCACTTGTAGTTAAAATCCTGTATAATATGGACCAGAAATTTTTTTCACACCGAAATAAATATTTATTTCCATTTATTATAATATTCCTATTTCCCTCTAGTACTACTTAATGCAGAAAGTCTGGAAAACACAAAGAAAATAAAGCAAAATTCACTTTTAATACTACAACTCTGAAATTATGACTCCTAACCTGTAGTGTATGTTTTTAAGTCTTTTCATATGCATGTTTATGGACTTCTGTAACATAATTTCCAAATCATGTAGGTGCTTTATGATTTGTTTTGTTCCTTCTTTTTAACAGCTGAAGTCATTTCCTTTCTTTCTTTCTCTCTTTCTTTCTTCTTTCTTCTTCTTCTTTTTTTAAATTTACTCTTTCCTATCATGAACATCTATGTTGATAAATCTTTGCACACACCCATGGCCACTTCCTTAGAATAAACTTACATGGCCATATGTATAATAAATTCCTCATTAGGTTGTTTCCAAATTTTTATTATCAATAATGTTTAAATGAACACATTTATGCATTTCTTTATATGAAATAAACTCCTAGAAGTGGAATTGCTGGGTAGGGGCCATGCTTGCTTAAGGCTTTTGCTACACGTTGCCAAATTGCCTTGCAGAATGCTGTTTGAGTCTGTACGTCTGCTGTTCTGCCACATGCTCACACACACTGGAAATTACTATTGTCTCAAGTACAATCAAAATGAACATTTTTTTTCATATGTTGGTTGGCTATTTGTGGCGATATCTTCTTTTTTAAAAATCTGATCTTATGTATTTTTATGTTTTTTTTTAATTTCAGTATAGTTGACACACAATATTACATTAGTTTCTGGCGTACACATTAGTAATTTGACAAGTTTATATTATACATTATGCTAGGTTCACCACGAGCGTAGCTACCATCTGTCCCATTACATCGCTATTATGGTATCATTGACTGTATTCCTTATATTCTGCCTTTTAACCCATGACTCACTCAGTTCTGTTACTGAAGGCCTGTATTTCCCTCTCCCTTTTACCCATTTTGCTTAACCCTCCATTCCCCTCCCCTTTGGCAGCCATCAGTTTGTTCTCTGTATTTATAGTTCTGATTCTGCTTTTTGTTTGTTTATTCTTTTTTTTTTTAGATACCTTTTATGAGTGGAATCACATGGTATTTATCTTTCTCAGTCTGACTTATTTCAGTTAGCATAATACCCTCTAGTTGCAGCCATTTTGTCTCAAATGGCATGATCTCATCTTTTTTATGGCTGTGTGATATTCCAGTGTGTGTGTGTGTGTGTGTGTGTGTGTGTGTGTGTGTACACCACATTTTCCTTATCCATTCGTCTATTGATGGTTGGCTACTGTAAACAGTGCTGCAATAAACCTAGGGGTGCATATATCTTTCCAAGTCAGTGTTTTCATTTTCTCTGGGTAAGCACCCAATAGTGTAATTATTGGACCATATGGTATTTCTATTTTTAATTTTTTGAGGAAATGCCATACTGTTTTCTACAGCGGCTGTACTGATTCGCATTCCCACCAACGGTGCATGAGGGATTCTTTTTCTCCCGATCCTTGCCAACACTTATTTCTTGTCTTTTTGATTTTAGCCATTCTAACAGATGTGAGGTGATATCTCATTGTGGTTTCCATTTGCATGGGAATGATGATGAGTAATGTTGGGCATCTTTTCATGTGTCTGTTGGCCATCTGCATGTCCTCTTGGGAAAAATGTTCAGTTCCTCTTCCTATTTTTTAATTGGATTGGTTTTTTGTTTTTGGTGTTGAGTTGTACAAGTTCTTTATATATTTTTGACATTAACCACTTAATGGATATATCATTTACAAATATGTCTTGATATTTTCTATATTTCTAGATTTGCCTCTTCACACCTTAAAGTTTGGAAATCTTTTTCTTTTCTTTCAGGAGTAACTGGATAGATAAGGTGATGCCTCATTATCAGACATTTTAGTTATTTTTCCAATGATATTTTCTATATGTGCAAAAAACTCCAGGCTTTAGTGGATGCATTTTGGTTGGAAACACACATTGCCCATTGCTTTAAATTTTTTCCTACAATTTTCTGTATCATTGACCTGCCATGAATTATGTAGAATGACTTGAGAGGTACTATTGGTACTATTGTGTGATTATACTAGTTAATTAAAATGGGTCTGGAGCCAGACTTTCTGGAGTCAAACTGAATCCTATCCCTTAGCGGTTATGTGACCTTGGATAAACTGCTGAAAATCTCTGCGCATTTTCCTATCTGTAAAATGGAGATAATAATATCTATTTAATAGGGTTTTTACAATATCATTAAGATAAAATGAGTGAAGCCCTTGTAACAGACCTCCTCATACAAGTTAAGCCCTCAATAAACATTAATGGTTAGTTAACAGGATATAATAATAGCTAAGCCATATAGAATGTTTACTGAGTTACAAAGGATATAAACAACCCCTGTGATCATCACCAGTTCTCTGAAGCAACTTGTTTTGTTGTGTCCATTTCAGAAATGAAGAAACTCAGATGCAGAGGGATTACATAAGTCAGCCAAAGTCTCCTTGTTCGCGTACAGAACTGGGACTCACACCCATCTGTATTGCCTCTGAGAGAATATAGAGGACAGATTCTTTGCATTTTTAAAAAGATTTTTCATTTGAAGACCATGTTTTTGTCATCAAAGGAAAATGTCGTTCCTACTGCAGGTAGAACTTCACATTCTTAAAAAAAGCACTTAAATCTTATATTAGAGCAATTTTGTCCAGCAACTTAGATAAGACATAGTTAATGATGATAATAATAATGAAAAGCAGCATATTTAAAACAATTTAGGGGCACCTGGGTGGCTCAGTCGTTCAGCGTCTGCCTTCAGCTCAGGTCATCCCTGCTCGGCGGGAAGCCTGCTTCTCCCTCTCCCACGCCCCCTGCTTGTGTTCCCTCTCTCGCTCTGTCTCTCTCTGTCAAATAAATAAATAAAATCTTAAAAAAAAAAATTTAAAGCTTACATATATTAGTGCCCTTATTGTCTGCTTATAGTACTTACAGCTTATTTAGGGGAAAAAAAACATGAATGCATTACTACTGTGTTTTTCATTCTAAATCGGAAGATTGTTAAGATAATAGGGCTGTTACAATCATAAATACTTCTTAATGCTCTTCAATACATCTTACAAAACACTCATTTTGGAAGTCATTGTTATAGTTGATGTCCACATGCATTTTGTTAGATAGGGTTCAGCTGGATATTCAACCACCCTAACAGCAAAATCCAGTAAAGCTTGGCATAATGACATTTCAAGGTTTATAACCCCGTTGGCAGGCAGAAAAGACAGTG